CAGAGGTAGACATGGTGAGAGAAAGAGACAGAGATTGAGACAGAGAGAGAGAGAGAGAGAGAGAGAGAGAGACAGATACAGGTGCTGGCCAGTAAATTAGAATATCATCAAAAGGTTGAAAATATTTCAGTAATTCCATTCAAAACGTGAAACTTGTACATTATATTCATGCAATGCACACAGACCAATGTATTTCCAATGTTCATTACATTTAAATTTGATATTCATAAGTGACAACTAATGAAAACTCCAAATTTGGTATCTCAAAAAATTAGAATATTCTGAAAAGGCTGAATATAGAAGACACCTGCTGCCACTCTAATCAGCTGATTTACTCAAAACACCTGCAAAGGCCTTTAAAAGGTCCCTCAGTCTTGTTTTGAAGGCACCACAATCATGGGGAAGACTTCTGACTTAACAGCTGTCCAAAAGACAATCATTGACACCTTGCACAAGGAGGGCAAGACACAAAAGGTGATTGCTAAAGAAGCTGGCTGTTCGCAGAGCTCTGTGTCCAAGCACATTAACAGACAGGCGAAGGGACGGAAACAATGTGGTAGAAAAAAGTGTACAAGCTCTAGGGATAACCGCACCCTGCAGAGAATTGTGACGACAAACCCATTCAAAAATGTGGGGGAGATCCACAAAGAGTGGACTGCAGCTGGAGTCAGCGCTTCAAGAACCACCACGAGGAGACTCATGAAAGACATGGGATTCAGGTGTCGCATTCCGTGTGTCAAGCCACTCTTGAACATGAAACAGCGCAAGAAGCGTCTCGCCTGGGCCAAGGACAAAAAGGACTGGACTGATGCTGAGTGGTCCAAAGTTATGTTTTCTGATGAAAGCAAGTTCTGCATTTCCTTTGGAAATCAAGGACCCAGAGTCTGGAGGAAGAGCGGAGAAGCACAGAATCCACGTTGCATGAGGTCCAGTGTAAAGTTTCCACCGTCAGTGATGGTGTGGGGTGCCATGTCATCTGCCGGTGTTGGCCCACTCTGTTTCCTGAGGTCCAGGGTCAATGCAGCCGTCTACCAGGAAGTTTTAGAGCACTTCATGCCTCCTGCTGCTGACCAACTTTATGGGGATGCAGACTTCACCTTTCAACAGGACTTGGCACCTGCACACAGTGCCAAAACCACCAGCACCTGGTTCAAGGACCATGGTATCCCTGTCCTTGATTGGCCAGCAAACTCGCCTGACCTTAACCCCATAGAAAATCTATGGGGTATTGTGAAGCGGAGGATGCAATACGCTAGACCCAACAATGCAGAGGAGCTGAAGACGACTATCAGAGCAACCTGGGCTCTCATAACACCTGAGCAGTGCCACAGACTGATCGAGTCCATGCCACGCCGCATTACTGCAGTTATTGAGGCAAAAGGAGCCCCGACTAAGTATTGAGTGCTATACATGCACATTCTTTTCATGTTCATTCTTTTCAGTTGGCCAACATTAGAGAAACAAACATTTTTTCATTGGCCTTTAGAATATTCTAATTGTCTGAGATACCAGATTTGATGTTTTCATTGGTTGTCACCTATAAATATCAAAATTAAACGTAATAAACATCGGAAATACATTGGTCTGTGTGCATTGCATGAATATAATGTACAAGTTTCACGTTTTGAATGGAATTACTGAAATATTTTCAACCTTTTGATGATATTCTAATTTACTGGCCAGCACCTGTATAGTTAGAGAGAGATAGAGACTGAAAGGGATAGAGAGAGATAGAAAGAGACAGAGATGGAAGAAATAAGAGACGTAGAGATGAAAAGACATACAGATAAAGAGAGATAAATGGAGAGAGATAGACAGAGAGAGAGAGAGAGAGAGAGAGAGAGAGAGAGAGAGAGAGAGAGAGAGAGAGAGAGAGAGATACAGATTGAGCAACACATTCTCACACCCAGGGTGTCAAAATATGACGCGTGTGACCAAGCCTCAATATGTGACAATTCGGGACGCTCCAGCGCGTCAGGAGACAACGATCAGGGACACGCTGGGCCACGTGGCTCCGCTGGCATCACTGTTTGACGCAAGCAGTCACAAGGACATTATTAGACTATTTAACTTTCCCCTCACCCCAATCCTAATCCCAATCCCAATCCTAGGTCCATAAACTGTGACCTTAAGGTTAGGATTGGGGTGAGGGGAAGGTTAAGTAGTTCACAAGTAGTTCTAATGTCCACCGGCAGATCGGATACCGACGCTCTGGAACGCTGCGTCAGCTGTTTGTCCGTGATCATCGTCTCCTGACGCGCTGGGGCGTCCCGAATCGTCATATATTGAGGCCTGGTCACGCGTCATATTTTGACGCCTTGGGTGTGAGAATGTGTTGGATTGAGATAGAGATGGTGAGAAAGAGCGTTACAGATGGATATACAGGTCCTTCTCAAAAAATTAGCATATTGTGATAAAGTTCATTATTGTCTGTAATGTATTGATAAACATTAGACTTTCATATATAATAGATTCATTACACACAACTGAATTAGTTCAAGCCTTTGATCGTTTCTAATATTGATGATTCTGGCATACAGCTCATGAAAACCCAAAATTCCTATCTAAAAAAATTAGCATATTTCTTCCAGCCAATAAAAGGAAAGTGTTTTTAATACAAAAAAGTCAACCTTCAAATAATTATGTTCAGTTATGCATCTCAATACTTGGTCGGGAATCCTTTTGCAGAAATGACTGCTTCAGTGCGGCGTGGCATGGAGGCAGTCAGCCTGTGGCACTGCTGAGGTGTTATGGAGGCCCAGGATGCTTCGATAGCGGCCTTAAGCTCATCCAGAGTGTTGGTTCTTACGTCTCTCAACTTTCTCTTCACAATATCCCACAGATTCTCTACGGGGTTCAGGTCAGGAGAGTTGTCAGGCCAGTTGAGCACAGTAATACCATGGTCAGTAAACCATTTACCAGTGGTTTTGGCACTGTGAGCAGGTGCCAGGTCGTGCTGAAAAATGAAATCTTCATCTCCATAAAGCTTTTCAGCAGATGGAAGTATGAAGTGCTGCAAAATCTCCTGATGGCTAGCTGCATTGACCCTGCCCTTGAAAAAACACAGTGGACCAACACCAGCAGCTGACATGGCACCCCAGACCATCACTGACTGGGAACTTGACACTGGACTTCAGGCATTGTGGCATTTCCCTCTGCCCAGTCTTCCTCCAGACTCTGGCACCTTGATTTCCGAATGACATGCAAAATTTGCTTTCATCCGAAAAAAGTACTTTGGACCACTGAGCAACAGTCCAGTGCTGCTTCTCTGTAGACCAGGTCAGGCGCTTCTACTGCTGTTTCTGGTTCAAAAGTGGCTTGACCTGGGGAATGCGGCACCTGTAGCCCATTTCCTGCACATGCCTGTACACGGTGGCTCTGGATGTTTCTACTCCAGACTCAGTCCGCTGCTTCCGCAGGTCCCCCAAGGTCTGGAATCGGTCCTTCTCCACAATCTTCCTCAGGGTCCGGTCACCTCTTCTCGTTGTGCAGAGTTTTCTGCCACACTTTTTCCTTCCCACAGACTTCCCACTGAGGTGCCTTGATACAGCACTCTGGGAACAGCCTATTCGTTCAGAAATTTCTTTCTGTGTCTTACCCTCTTGCTTGAGGGTGTCAATGATGGCCTTCTGGACAGCAGTCAGGACGGCAGTCTTACCCATGATTGAGGTTTTGAGTTATGAACCAGGCTGGGAGTTTTTAAAAGCCTCAGGAATCTTTTGCAGGTGTTTAGAGTTAATTAGTTGATTCAGATGATTAGGTTAATAGCTCGTTTAGAGAACCTTTCATGACATGCAAATTTTTTTAGATAGGAATTTTGGGTTTTCATGAGCTGAATGCCAAAATCATCAATATTAGAAACAATAAAAGGCTTGAACTACTTCAGTTGTGTGTAATGAATCTAATATATATGAAAGTCTAATGTTTATCAGTACATTACAGACAATATTGAACCTCATCACAATATGCTAATTTTTTGAGAAGGACATGTAGATAGATATAGCTCTAACAGAGAGGCTCGTGGAGAGCTGTAGCACACCAGTTTGCCATGTCAGCTGATTTTGTTCAAAAAGCAAACCTTATTGCCTGTGTTTACTTTCATTTTCAGTAAATTTGCCAGCCGAAGCTCAGCAATAACTCCCCACGTCATCATGATATCTGCCTCTGTTGCGCCAGGGCGCATACGACAAATACCGCAATATTACTACCGAGCGAGGCGGATCGAATGCCGCAGTATTTGCGCAACGCCATGCCGGCATGGCGCGTTTATAGACATACCATTGCAGTAATATTACGCCGATTTGCCAGCATGGTATGTCTTATAAAAGCACCTTTAGAAAGAGAGAGAGATAGAAATAAATAGATAGATAGATAGACAGACAGACAGATAGATAGATAGATAGAAATAGAATAAAAAAATATTTTGAGATTCTGAAATCATTTTTGTGAAGGGGTATGAATTAAATGTATGTATTTTAATGGTAAATAACTTCCAAAACGTCTGAATGGTCAAAATAGAAAACATCTTGATAAAATCATGATCGTGATTTTGCAAAAACAAAATTGTGGTATGATTTTTTTCCATATTGCCCACCCCTAGGCACCAGTTCTGTTCATGGACAGAAATTCTAGGCTCCGCTGTAGGGTGGAGGGTATTGAGTTTGGTGGCAGTAGGTGCTCGTCTGCTTTTTGTGGATGCTACTGTCCTTTTAACTTCGGGAAGCAGCTGAGTGTGATGTCTTAGAATTTATTAAGCAGAAATTTTCAGGAGGGTAAAGGAAATATTAATAAAATGTGTTAGCAGAACTGGGCTGCTCATAGATGCGCCTGATATTAAACTGGCTTTACTCAAGAGGTATATAGGCCCAACATATTGATCTATAAACAAAAACACATACAGAAGAGTAAATGCACAGCGGTGGACCAGAGACATGAATGCAATGATGGGAATAAGCACCCCTTCTTCTGCCAAGAGAAATGAGGATAAGGTTAATTCTCACCATAGTGAGACCAAGTAGGGTGGGACTGATGAGGTGAACTGGTGCCATTACGCTGCTGCTTTGACTCATTTTCCAGAAAGTATAAAACACATCTGACCAGCAGATGATCCACAACAGAAAACCAACGGCCTGTGGAGACACAGCAGCATGTTACTGTTCAGGTAAAACAAGGACAGGAATTAGTTTAATCTTAATGTTATTAGTCTAATTACTGACATCAACAACATAATTAAAACAGGACGTAGAGTCAACACTGTTGACTCGATAACACATAGAAAATGTAATCAATCCAAAATAAAACATGTTCTAGTCTAACACTTCCTCTAGTTCAGGTTGTGGTCTACCAGTTATCTAGTCATGGTTGTGGTCTAACATTTATCTAGTCATGGTTGTGGTCTAACATTTATCTAGTCATGGTTGTGGTCTAACATTTATCTAGTCATGGTTGTGGTCTAACATTTATCTAGTCAAGGTTGTGGTCTAACAGTTGTCTAGTCAAGGTTGTGGTCTAACATTTGTCTAGTCAAGGTTGTGGTCTAACAGTTATCTAGTCAAGGTTGTGTTCTAACAGTTATCTAGTCAAGGTTGTGGTCTAACATTTATCTAGTCAAGGTTGTGGTCTAACATTTATCTAGTCCAGGTTGTGGTCTAACATTTATCTAGTCCAGGTTGTGGTCTAACATTTATCGAGTCCAGGTTGTGGTCTAACAGTTATCTAGTCAAGGTTGTGGTCTAACATTTATCTAGTCATGGTTGTGGTCTAACATTTATCTAGTCCAGGTTGTGATCTAACATTTATCTATTTCAGGTTGTGGCCTAACATTTATCTAGTCATGGCTGTGGTCTAACAGTTATCTAGTCAAGGTTGTGGTCTTACGTTTATCTAGTCAAGGTTGTGGTCTAACGTTTATCTAGTCCAGGTTGTGGTCTAACGTTTATCTAGTCCAGGTTGTGGTCTAACAGTTATCTAGTCAAGGTTGTGGTCTAACAGTTATCTAGTCATGGTTGTGGTCTAACATTTATCTAGTCATGGTTGTGGTCTAACATTTATCTAGTCATGGTTGTGGTTTAACGTTTATCTAGTCCATGTTGTGGTCTAACGTTTATCTAGTCAAGGTTGTGGTCTAACATTTATCTAGTCCAGGTTGTGGTCTAACGTTTATGTAGTCAAGGTTGTGGTCTAACGTTTATCTAGTCCAGGTTGTGGTCTAACAGTTATCTAGTCAAGGTTGTGGTCTAACATTTATCAAGTTCAGGTTGTGGTCTAACATTTATCAAGTTCAGGTTGTGGTCTAACATTTATCTAGTCAAGGTTGTGGTCTAACAGTTATGTAGTCAAGGTTGTGGTCTAACATTTATCTATTTCAGGTTGTGGTCTAACATTTATCTAGTCCAGGTTGTAGTCTAACGTTTATCTAGTCCAGGTTGTGGTCTAACGTTTATCTAGTCCAGGTTATGGTCTAACATTTATCTAGTTCAGGTTATGGTCTAACATTTATCTAGTCATGGTTGTAGTCTAACAGTTATCTAGTCAAGGTTGTGGTCTTACGTTTATCTAGTCCAGGTTGTGGTCTAAAAAGTAATCTAGTCAAGGTTGTGGTCTAACATTTATCTAGTCATGGTTGTGGTCTAACAGTTATCTAGTGAAGGTTTTGGTCTAACATTTATCTAGTCCAGGTTGTGGTCTAACAGTTATCTAGTCAAGGTTGTGGTCTTACGTTTATCTAGTCCAGGTTGTAGTCTAACGTTTATCTAGTTCAGGTTGTGGTCTAACATTTATCTAGTCAAGGTTGTGGTCTAACAGTTATCTAGTCAAGGTTGTGGTCTAACAGTTATCTAGTCATGGTTGTGGTCTAACACTTATCTAGTCATGGTTGTGGTTTAACGTTTATCTAGTTCAGGTTGTGGCCTAACGTTTATCTAGTCAAGGTTGTGGTGTAACATTTATCTAGTTCAGGTTGTGGTCTAACATTTATCTAGTCAAGGTTGTGGTCTAACAGTTATCTAGTCAAGGTTGTGGTCTAACAGTTATCTAGTCAAGGTTGTGGTCTAACACTTATCAAGTTCAGGTTGTGGTCTAACATTTATCTAGTTCAGGTTGTGGTCTAACATTTATCTAGTCAAGGTTGTGGTCTTACGTTTATCTAGTCATGGTTGTAGTCTAACGTTTATCTAGTCCAGGTTGTGGTCTAACAGTTATCTAGTCAAGGTTGTGGTCTAACAGTTATCTAGTCATGGTTGTGGTCTAACACTTATCTAGTCATGGTTGTGATTTAACCTTTATCTAGTTCAGGTTGTGGCCTAACGTTTATCTAGTCAAGGTTGTGGTGTAACATTTATCTAGTTCAGGTTGTGGTCTAACATTTATCTAGTCAAGGTTGTGGTCTAACAGTTATCTAGTCAAGGTTGTGGTCTAACAGTTATCTAGTCAAGGTTGTGGTCTAACACTTATCAAGTTCAGGTTGTGGTCTAACATTTATCTAGTTCAGGTTGTGGTCTAACATTTACCTAGTCAAGGTTGTGGTCTAACATTTACCTATTTCAGGTTGTGGTCTAACATTTATCTAGTCAAGGTTGTGGTCTAACATTTATCTAGTCAAGGTTGTGGTCTTACGTTTATCTAGTCAAGGTTGTGTTCTAACGTTTATCTATTTCAGGTTGTGGTCTAACATTTATCTAGTCAAGGTTGTGGTCTTACGTTTATCTAGTCATGGTTGTGGTCTAACACTTATCAAGTTCAGGTTGTGGTCTAACATTTATCTAGTCAAGGTTGTGGTCTAACACTTATCAAGTTCAGGTTGTGGTCTAACATTTATCTAGTTCAGGTTGTGGTCTAACATTTATTTAGTCAAGGTTGTGGTCTAACACTTATCAAGTTCAGGTTGTGGTCTAACATTTATCTAGTTCAGGTTGTGGTCTAACATTTATCTAGTCAAGGTTGTGGTCTAACAGTTATCTAGTCAAGGTTGTGGTCTTACGTTTATCTAGTCAAGGTTGTGGTCTAACGTTTATCTAGTCCAGGTTGTGGTCTAACGTTTATCTAGTCCAGGTTGTGGTCTAACAGTTATCTAGTCAAGGTTGTGGTCTAACATTTATCTAGTCATGGTTGTGGTCTAACATTTATCTAGTCATGGTTGTGGTTTAACGTTTATCTAGTCCATGTTGTGGTCTAACGTTTATCTAGTCAAGGTTGTGGTCTAACATTTATCTAGTCCAGGTTGTGGTCTAACGTTTATGTAGTCAAGGTTGTGGTCTAACGTTTATCTAGGCATGGTTGTGGTCTAACATTTATCTAGTCATGGTTGTGGTCTAACATTTATCTAGTCCAGGTTGTGGTCTAACAGTTATCTAGTCAAGGTTGTGGTCTAACATTTATCAAGTTCAGGTTGTGGTCTAACATTTATCAAGTTCAGGTTGTGGTCTAACATTTATCTAGTCAAGGTTGTGGTCTAACAGTTATGTAGTCAAGGTTGTGGTCTAACATTTATCTATTTCAGGTTGTGGTCTAACATTTATCTAGTCCAGGTTGTAGTCTAACGTTTATCTAGTCCAGGTTGTGGTCTAACGTTTATCTAGTCCAGGTTATGGTCTAACATTTATCTAGTTCAGGTTATGGTCTAACATTTATCTAGTCATGGTTGTAGTCTAACAGTTATCTAGTCAAGGTTGTGGTCTTACGTTTATCTAGTCCAGGTTGTGGTCTAAAAAGTAATCTAGTCAAGGTTGTGGTCTAACATTTATCTAGTCATGGTTGTGGTCTAACAGTTATCTAGTGAAGGTTTTGGTCTAACATTTATCTAGTCCAGGTTGTGGTCTAACAGTTATCTAGTCAAGGTTGTGGTCTTAGGATTTATCTAGTCCAGGTTGTAGTCTAACGTTTATCTAGTCCAGGTTGTGGTCTAACAGTTATCTAGTCAAGGTTGTGGTCTAACAGTTATCTAGTCATGGTTGTGGTCTAACACTTATCTAGTCATGGTTGTGGTTTAACGTTTATCTAGTTCAGGTTGTGGCCTAACGTTTATCTAGTCAAGGTTGTGCTGTAACATTTATCTAGTTCAGGTTGTGGTCTAACATTTATCTAGTCAAGGTTGTGGTCTAACAGTTATCAAGTCAAGGTTGTGGTCTAACAGTTATCTAGTCATGGTTGTGGTCTAACACTTATCTAGTCATGGTTGTGGTTTAACGTTTATCTAGTTCAGGTTGTGGCCTAACGTTTATCTAGTCAAGGTTGTGGTGTAACATTTATCTAGTTCAGGTTGTGGTCTAACATTTATCTAGTCAAGGTTGTGGTCTAACAGTTATCTAGTCAAGGTTGTGGTCTAACAGTTATCTAGTCAAGGTTGTGGTCTAACACTTATCAAGTTCAGGTTGTGGTCTAACATTTATCTAGTTCAGGTTGTGGTCTAACATTTATCTAGTCAAGGTTGTGGTCTTACGTTTATCTAGTCATGGTTGTAGTCTAACGTTTATCTAGTCCAGGTTGTGGTCTAACAGTTATCTAGTCAAGGTTGTGGTCTAACAGTTATCTAGTCATGGTTGTGGTCTAACGCTTATCTAGTCATGGTTGTGATTTAACCTTTATCTAGTTCAGGTTGTGGCCTAACGTTTATCTAGTCAAGGTTGTGGTGTAACATTTATCTAGTTCAGGTTGTGGTCTAACATTTATCTAGTCAAGGTTGTGGTCTAACAGTTATCTAGTCAAGGTTGTGGTCTAACAGTTATCTAGTCAAGGTTGTGGTCTAACACTTATCAAGTTCAGGTTGTGGTCTAACATTTATCTAGTTCAGGTTGTGGTCTAACATTTACCTAGTCAAGGTTGTGGTCTAACATTTACCTATTTCAGGTTGTGGTCTAACATTTATCTAGTCAAGGTTGTGGTCTAACATTTATCTAGTCAAGGTTGTGGTCTTACGTTTATCTAGTCAAGGTTGTGTTCTAACGTTTATCTATTTCAGGTTGTGGTCTAACATTTATCTAGTCAAGGTTGTGGTCTTACGTTTATCTAGTCAAGGTTGTGGTCTAACACTTATCAAGTTCAGGTTGTGGTCTAACATTTATCTAGTCAAGGTTGTGGTCTAACACTTATCAAGTTCAGGTTGTGGTCTAACATTTATCTAGTTCAGGTTGTG